TGCATAGAGGATGATTAGGGCCACAGACCTGAGTGCAGGTGTCTGAGATGGTCTGCACTTGGCTGTGCTGGGGGAAGAGGTCTTTTGCGCCAACTCTTGGTATCTCTATAAAAACCCTGGGCCAAAGACAGTCGGGGCCCCTTGGAAAAGGTTCCAAGCTCTCTCGAGGCTCTCCTTTATTTTATATCTATTTATCTCTGCAATCTAAATCCTTCTATCTAATATTTCCTACTGCTCGCACTCAAGAAAACTCTGGGGAACTGTGGAATTGGTGGGTAAATGCCCCACAACAGAGTCAAATAACCTGCATTATAGGGAGAAGAGAAAAATGTTAAGTTTTCTACACCAATTCCAGCTGTATTGAAGTGGGAGTTGGGATGTATCCCCTCATTTCTCTTCATACATCATCCCCCTTCCTCCTTCTCAGCCTCCCCACCCCTTGCTCTGACTGACAGCCTGAAGCTTTCATTCCCAGATGGCACAACCCTGTGCAGGTGGCAGGTTCCCCTAGGAACAACATTTGCTTTCCCATCGACTCCCGTTGCTCCAAGCTGTGAACTCAGTCACTACCTTCTGGAGGCTGGAACTCAGCCTCTGTCACAACAGATGCTGTTTGGGAAAAGTTGAAGCAACTGCTGTAAATATTGGTGGAGAGCTTGACTAGCACCGTCGGCATAACTCAGCAGACATAGCTGTTAAGGAAGGAGATCCCTGGGAGTGGGAAGGACAACAGGAATAGGATTCTACAAGCTGTTCTTTTCACTCTCCGCAATCTCAGTTTCACACAAACTCTCATCAGTCAGGAGTCTCAATCCCCTTTGCCTCTCTGCAGATCGCTAGGGTTGGTCCCACAGAAATGTGCAAAGTTTTCCATCGCCACCTTCATTTTGTTTTGAGATAGGGTCTCCTGTATCCCAGATTGGCCTTGAAGTTATTACATAACCTAAGGTGACTTTGAACTTCTGATTCTTCTGCCTCCACTCACTGGCACCACAGCTATATATCACCATACCTGGTTTATGTAGTTAGTACTAGGGATCGAACCCAGGGTTTCATGTACACTAGGCCATCACTCTACCAACTGTGCTACATCCCCAGCCTACCACAGTCACATTTCTGTGTGATACTATTTTATCTGTGCTCTAACAAATAAAGCTTGCCTAGAGATCAGAGTGAACAGCTAGCCACTAGTTGACCATAGAAACCAGGCAGTGGTGGCACACATTTTTAATCCCAGCACTTGTGATCTCGTGCCTTTGATCCCAGTACTTGGGAGGCACAGGCCTTTAATCCTAGCACTAAGGAGGTAGAGACAGGAAGTGATACGGCTGGGCAGAGAGAGGAATATAAGGCAGGAGGAGACAGGAGCTCACCCCTTTAAGCTGAGGAGTTGGCGAGGTAAGAGGTATCCGTGGCTTGCTCCCTTGTCTCTCTGATCTTTTAGCATTTACCATGATATCTGGCTCTGGGTTTTTATAATTAAGACCAATTAGGATTCATGCTACATTTCTGTTATGAATATCTAGGTTGAAGACATTTCAAAAACTCAAGTACAGCCACAGTTCTATCCCCATCTGCAGTGCTCAGTGGGGAATTCTGGCCAGGCAGCCAATATACTTTAGTCCCAAATCCTTAAAGAAGAAACAAGGGGAAAATCCAACCCTACCTTGGTCAGTGTCAGAGCCTAGAGTAGTCTAGGCTATCCATGTGTCTCATAAAGCTTACTCCAGTCAAATAAACGTGGCTGCTGCAATTCTTTGTCCTGAGTGACATTTTAGCAGAATACACAAAGGATGGGCCCACGCCAGGGAAAAGAGGAAAGCTGCTTATGTGGCCTGGCAGAGACAATGAGCTGGAGTTGTGACCAGGCAGGAGGCAGCTTTTGAGAAAAGAGGTTGGCCATGAAAGCAACTGGGGCATTAGGAAAAGCAGAAAGAAACTTCTGAGACAAAATATAGGAAAAACACTTTTTAAATATTTTAAAGATTGCAAACAAAGAAGTCCATATAGATTAAGAAGTCGATAGAGATTAAAAAATAGTTCATTTGCCGGGCGGTGGTGGCGCACGCCTTTAATCCCAGCACTCGGGAGGCAGAGCCAGGCGGATCGCTGTGAGTTCGAGGCCAGCCTGGGCTACCAAGTGAG